TATATATATATATAAATATATATATATATATATATATATATATATAAAAGTTAATGTATAAGTTTAGCAATCCAATCATCTTCTTCTCCCGGCAGCATCTGTGCATATTTAATATAATTTATTTTTGGGTCTCCTTTATAGTTTTATGATAAAGAAGAATATATAAACATAAATATATATAAATATAGATAAATAAATAAATAAATAAATAAATATAAATAAATAAATTAATGTATAAGTTTAGCTAACCAATCATCTTCTCCCGGCAGCATCTGTGCATATTTAATATAATTTATTTTTGGGTCTCCTTTATAGTTTTGTGATAAAGAAGAAGCCCTCGCTCCTTTTTTTTGTAGTCTATTTAAAACTCTAGCATAATGTACTTGTTGTGCATGCAACATATTTATAATTATATTATATATTTCTTCTTTTTTATTGGGGTGTATGCTCACCTCTTTGTGATATATTAACCAATCTGTTGCTGCCTCTAAACGTAAACGCGCTAATTCTATTAAACGCTCATTTACCTCTATCCATATATTTCGTCGGCTGTATTCTTCTTCCTCTTCTTGCTGCTGCTGCTGCTGCTGCTGCTCCTGCTGCTGCTGCTGCTCCTGCTGCTGCTGCTGGTTTTGGTGCGGCTGCTGCTCCTGCTGCTCCTGCTGCTGCTGGTTTTGGTGCTGCTGCTGCTGCTGCTGCTGCTGCTGCTGCTGCTGCTGTTGGTTTATGAGTTTTGCATCGTGTATAGAGAGAGAAGAGAGGCGGGTGAGGTCTTGTAGTTCTGCTTTATCTAATAAAGACAAATGCATGCGGAATAAGTCCCAATCTCTTTGTCTCCTTTCTGTTTCATTTTTAGGGTTTTGTTGAATATATTTATAAAAAGAAGAACAAGAAGAAGCAAACCGAAAAAACTTTTTTGCTGCTGTCTCCTCTCCCCCCATAAACCCTAGTTTTCTACATTCTTTATAAAAACTATCAAAACCACCATCAACAAACTCCGCCATAAATGCACTATATAAACTCTCATCAGGGGGATCCAGAGAAACAAAAGGCGGCAGCGGGAACGCATCATCATCTGCTGCTGCTGCTGCTGCTGCTGCTTCTTCTGCTGGTGGTGGTGGTGGTGGTGGTGGTGGTTCCTCTGTCTTTGGGTCTTCTGCTGCTGGAGCAGTACCTGCTGCTGCTTCTGGTTTGTCTGCTGCTGCTGCTGCTGCTGATGATGATGATGCTGCTGCTGCAGCATCATTTGTTTCTTTCTCTTCTTTCTGGTGTTGCTGTTCAGGTGTATCCTCAGCTATCTGCTGCATGCCTGCTGCTTGCTGCTTCTTTTTGTACTGCGTAGCTCGCATTGCTCCGTATATTAACAGCAGTGAAACCAAAGCAATCACGGGGGCCCCCAGGGGGCCCCCTACCCCCCCAAAACGTCTAGCAGCAAAAAAAGAACGATGGGGGGGGTTGCTGCTGTGCAACAGGGGGGAGGAGGCCGAGCGATATATCCCCAACTCATACTCGGGATCGATCCCCAAGTCGATCCCAGCTGACGACAAACTTGACTCAGAAGTGACCGTGTCGTGGCGTAGTGGTGATGGAGCTGGCGTGTCTTGGGGTGTATGTACACCTGAATATGTGTAAGAAACCTCATCTTTTTCTCCAATACTGAAACCCCCAACAGCACCTGTTGCTGATGGACCTATAGGCATCGTCGAGCGCGCCAAGCGAAGCCAAGAAAGCCAGCTGAGTTGTTGTATTTAAAAAAACAAATGAAGCAAATAAAAGGATAGAGGCACATTCAAGCCTCTATAAACAGTAAAAACAAACACCAAACACAAAAAAAGAAAAGCAAACTGCAAACAAAGGCCGCTCCTCCGCTCACCCTTCACCGCGTATGGGTGTTGAGGGTTTAGGGTTTAGGGTTTAGGGTTTAGGGTTCCGCATACCGGACACCAAGTCTGTATGGAAAAAAGCAGTTTGAAGCCTTTCAAAAGAAAAATAAAAAAGAACGTCAACTGAGTTTATATGATCGGTGAAAAGTAGAGGTTTCTGTTGTATGGCTTGCTGTGTATTCTCTGATTCAAGTTCATGTTTCGGGTCTGTTCAATGCATGGGGCTTAGGTAGTGATGGTTTATATCGAGCTGGTCGTTCGTGTCTTGTTTTCCTCTTTTTCTTTGGAATCCTCTTTCCTAATCAAAGAATTAAACATAAATAACTCAAATTACAAAAAAAAAATTAAAAATATTCACCAGAATACTCTGCTTTCTCGCGGTTCCTGTATCCTCTCATTCAGCTTTCCATCATCGACCCCATAGAAAGCGCGAGCTATAGAGAACAAATTCATTGAATTTCCTCGAAATATATTTAAAATTTTTAAATATAATTGAAAAACAACTTTTTTTTGATTTATTTTTTACTTTTTTTGTTGAAATTCGGTGTTTCTTGGTGCTGGTTTGTTGGTGGTGAGCTGCCTATACACTCCACGCGTGTGTAGAAACCTGCATCAAC